GATATTGGGTAGGCCCGGTAACGAAAATAAAGAATACAAAAATAAGAAATACAAATAGATGGGCATAGAACTTTTCTCTTGGCTTCTTTACAAATAATCAGCGATGATAAGTATAGCTATAGCAGCCTTGTCTCTTCTGCAAATACTCGGCTGTATAAAAGCAAGTGCATCTGTGATATTGTGGCGATAAGCAGCAATTAAATTCATAGCCAGTCAACACTTTAAGATACCCTAGATGTCTATCTAAGCATACCTCTTTTAAATCACTCGAATATGGATGGTTATATTTCTCTAAAAAATTACTAATTTCCTCGATCTGCCTGAGGTCCGCCGAGTCTCAGGTACTTATGCAGACAGACAGATATATTGAACCTTGATCGAACACAATATACCCTGCTAGCTTAAGGGTACCGGGTACACAAACTAATATTGTATAATGCCTGCTTCGCTTTCCTTATCACGGCGCATTTGTTCGCTCTCTCTCTCTCTCTCACACCAAAACCCATAAAAATGTTCGTCGAGTCACTTTGGGCTTTTGTTGCGTTGTCTTTGCTTTGTTGTGTTGTCTGTGCGAAAATTATGCGAACTTTGGCACAATTATTAAAATTAGATTTGAAGAGCAAAATGTTTTTTTTATCAGCGATTGGCTTGGCTTTCAGCATGAGCTTTTTGCATTATTATTTTGCGAGCCGTGGGCGTAACTCCGTCCAGTGGCCAACGGGCAGCGCTCATGGCAAGTTTGCAAATTAAAATCGTGTTGACCAGGGCAAATGGCAGACCAAGTAATCAGCAGAGCCTGAATCGAGTGTCAACTGAAATTTATCCACGATTTCTTGCACCTCACAGACTCCTGCATAGCCGGAAATCGATCGCCGACGAGCACGCCGCACCTCTTCCTGCGCTCCAACACCCTTCCTCTGCAGCAGCGGCCCAGCCCCGCGGAGTTGCAGTATGAGAGCTATGTGCAGGCCGCGGTGGCCGCCAATGCCAAGTCGCCAGTGGAGCAACTGGAATCGGCCAAGACTGCGGGGAGTGCACCGCCGCCCCCACCACGTCGCCATCACCTCCTGGCCACACCCAAGGAGGGGGAGAAGGAGAATGGGACCTTGAGCAGCTCCATGCAGTCGCCAGTGAATTCGGAAACGGGTCAGACGACGGCGGATGCCCAGGCTCTGTTCCAGATCCGCGAGCAGATGGCCCTGAGCCTGAAGCGTCTGAAGGATCTGGAGGAGCAGGTCAAAGCCATACCCGACATGGAGGTGAGTAGCTAGCTATGCATCTCGATGCACATTCATGAACTCTTATCACCGACTCCCTCTCTTAGTTGGAACTCAGTTCACTGCGCTCGGAGAAGCAGCGTCTGCTGCGCAAGAACGAGGAGCTAGTGCGGGGACAAAGACAGACACCATCACCGCCCAGTCCGGGCCTGAAGAACGCTTCGCCAGTGCAGTTTACGCCACAGCGCATAAGTCCCGTCTCGCTGGAGAGCCTGGGGTCGCGCATGCGCAGCAGCTCGATCTCGGCGTCACCCTCGCCCAGCATCATTCGACGCGATGTGTCCACCCAGGCGGCCACACGGGTGACAGCCACCCGAGATGTGGCCGTTGGCTCTACCCTGAGCACCCGTCACGTGGCCACGCAACAGGCGGCGGCCATTTACTCCCAAGCGGAACTGGAGGAGAAAATCGATCTGGCCCTGAGCAGCCACCAGCAGAAGCAGCTGAAGAAGCTCATCACAGTGGGCACACAGATGTACGTGCCGAAGCGGGAGCAGCGCGAATCGGGCATGCAGACGATAGCGGAGCGGCCGAAGCTCAAGTACAATGTGGGAGTCAGTGCCAAGCCCGCGACGAGGGAGAACTTCACCAGTTGCAAGCCAGATGTGCGCACTGTGGGCAGCTCCGAGCACCGCATCGACCAAGAGCTCTGCGAGAAGTGTGCCATCAGCAAGCGATCAGTGGGCTGCGGTCCGGAAGTGCCCCCGGAGAAACCGAAGCCACCGCCACAGATGCCGGGACGCAGCAACACCTTCAGCCTCGGCGAGAACGAATCGCTAACAATCATTCGAAAGGCAGTGGGCTGTCAGACGCCAATTACCATGGTGCACAGTGCTGCGAGTCAGACGGCGATGACCACGGTTCGCTCCACCGGTGCTCAGGTGTCGCCGCAGCAGCAGCACGCGGTGGTGCAGTGTGGGGCAGAGCAGAGCACTCGGCAAACAGACACCGACGGCCTGCAGCGCCTCTCGAGGAGCGCCACAAAGACGGAACAGGTGGCCGAGTCTGCGCCACGCCCTCGAACACGTCACACAGCCTGCAACACGGAGCAGGAGCAGCAGAAGCCGGAACAAATCAAGGTACCTGCCGCCACCACCCACTCCGCCTGCAACACGGATGAAATTCGCAAACGGGATGTGGGCTGCGGCGAAATTGTCAAGCCACACATCTCGATTGCCTGTGCGGCCAACTACTGTGATTCCTGCAAGGAAGCCATACAAGATCTGGCCAAGGGCTTCTCCAAGGTCAGCCCAGCCGCAACGCCCGCACTGAGCCCAGCCAAGCCGGGCACAGTGCGTCGCTCCACGTCGGCGGACTCGCGCATACCTCGACTCAAACACATCACTAGTCCCAGTCCGGTGCGCAGGCAGTTGAAGCGGCAGAACACCTACACTTTGGCCACGCCCTCAAAACCGCCCAGTCCCCAGGTGGAGCGGAAAGCGCGACTCAGGTGAGTTCTCCTTTCTGCTGTCTGTGACTCACGCTAAAAGCTTTTAGGGCAAAGTTTCACTGCGAGCTTTTAGCCCGGACAGGCACCGCGGGCTTTTAGCCCAGACACTCACTACCCGCTGGGTCCGAATGATGTCGCAGTGCTCTGTGAGAGATGGACCCAAATGTAAACAATAAATGGACTTGCGCATTGTGGGCTTACCCGGGTAGTGGGAACATCTCCGTAGGATGACCTTCAGTCGGGCTTTAGTTTTCGCTTTGGCACATTTTCGTGGCCTCGCTTCTTTTATCGCTTATTTTGGTTTTTGTTTTGGATTTTGATTTTCGTGAATGGTTTTGCCAATGTTCTCCAGCCTGAGCAGTTTCACGTGCTACCCGCTGCTGGTCAGCGGGTGCTCAGCATTGCTGCTAACGTGGGTCACTCTCTCTTCCTGTCTCCTACTCTGTTTATCACCTGTTTAATAACGCAATTATTTCATTACAGCTCGCTGCAGGAGAAGCCACCGACTATGTCGAGCTTCCAGTCGCCAGATTCATCGAAAGAATCGCAAAGTTTCATCAGACAGCCGTCCAGCAAGCAGAACCCTTCATTGGACCTCAGCCAGGTGGGTGACGATGAGCTGATTGTGCGCGAGGAGAAGCGCGTGAGCATCAGCTGGTCACGCGATAATTCCCCCGCACCACTGATGTCCTCCTCGGCCACTACATCAGGCACAACGAAGTCGGCCTCGCCGGAGCAGGAGCAGGAGCCGGAGCAAGCGATGAGCATTTCCAGGGACTCCTCACCGCCCTTGGATGTGCAGATTGCTCAGGGAGCACGCAAGAAATCCAGCACACCGCTAAAATCTAGTCAAAGCGAGGAGTCCCAGGTGACTGTCATCGAGCGACCGGCCACAAAGGCGCAGCTCCATCAGCTGGCCCAGGCGGAGTCAGAGCCCCGCAAGAAGTGAGTTGGAGGATAAAGCGCCCCTTTTCCGGTTGAGATAATCCAAGTATTTCGTTTCCAGAACCGAGATATCCAAGAGCCTGGAGGATGCGCTCAAAGTCATCAATGATTCGCTGCTAAAGAGGCTCGGGGCCAAGCCCATCTCCTCGCAGAGCCTCAAGTCAGCGAAGACAACGATACAGGAGCATTGGTTCCGAAACTCCAGCACTGGCAAGGCCGATGCTCATGAGGTGGAGGATCACTTGGACTACTTTGAGTCGCTGTCGGTGCCCTTGCTGGAGTATTGCGTTAATCTCTCCGACAACAATGTAAGTTTTGTACATTAATTAAGTAAGAATTAGGAATAAATGTCTGTTTCATTGCGATTTTGTAGGGCAACACAGCCATGCATTATGCGGTCTCGCACGGCAACTTTGACGTGGTATCCATTCTGCTGGATTCGAAGGTTTGCAACGTAAACCAAACGAATAACGCCGGATACACGTGCGTGATGCTCGTATCGTTGGCCAAGCTAAAGCAACCGTCCCATCGGACAGTCGTGGAGCGACTGTTCAAGATGGCCGATGTCAACATACGCGCCAAGAAGGTAGGTAAGGGGCCGCACAAACGCCCAGAGACCACATATCCAGACATCTGATCGTTGTTCCCCTACTAACCGTATACCCTCCCCTTTTGCTTGCAGCACTGCCAGACCGCGCTGATGCTCGCTGTGTCGCATGGTAATGGCGACATGGTCGCCATGCTGCTGGAAGCCGGAGCAGATATCAATATCCAGGACGAGGATGGCAGCACGGCTCTAATGTGCGCCGCCGAGCACGGGCGTGTGGATGTGGTCAAGCATTTGCTGTCCAGTCCAGAATGCGACTCCCTCATACAAGATGTGGTATGCGAAAGATCTCAAGTCATGCTATACATTTGGTTTTAAATGTTTAAACTACTCCACAGGATGGCAGCACGGCCTTTAAGATTGCCTGGCAGGCCGGACACCGGGATGTGGGCCTGCTGCTCTATGTTCACGAGCAAATGCTGCGCAGCAAGCTGCCCAATCGCGGTGAGGCTGCCAGGAGTTCGCTGCTCTCATTGGCGCTGCACAGCCGCCAGTCCCCGGAGTAAAGCCATCTCGTATTAGCGGCCAAATTCGTCGAACAAACAAGTTAGTTTATAGGCTTTTAATTAGCATTTTCGTAGAGCGGCCCGGACAAACCGTAGAAGTGGCAAAGCAACACACATTCCATATCGAAACTTACAGAATACAGAAAACGGAAAACGGAAAACGGAAATGAAACTTAACTTAGAATTATAGACTTTAGTTTCGTGTACTTTGAAATATGTTTTATTTATTATTATTAAATTTAATTTTAGTGCTAACATTTAAAACGGATTCTAGCCCGTAACTCTAATTTCGATTAACCAACGAAAGCGGCCAGCTATTTTTAAAATAATGTCTTTTATCTACGCTAATAAGCTCAATTCTGCACAGGCCACCTCAGACACCTGAGCCACCTGAGCCACCAACCAACCATATCAGCAAACGACAATGCAACAAACGATATTTAACTAACAAATACTTGCGAGTAACTACGAATCAAATGGACAAATATTTTAATAAATCAAGTACATCTATACTTCTATTGTATGTAAGACGGCAAAGTTATTTAAAAGCAAAGTATTTGCTCTTTCGATAATAAATAAATGAATAATTAAAACAATATGCTCGTACGAGTAGTAGTAAATTAAGTAAGAATGCCATTTGTGTGTGTGGGGTTTCCGTCTCTCTAGTCCTATGCCTAGATATTTGGTAGTTAGTAAATAGTTTTAAATTGCTTTCTATACTTTGTTCATGGTTTAAATTCTGTGTCCGTACTTTCTAAATAAGATACCTAATTCGCTCAGACAGCCCTCTCCTCGGTGCCCGGCTCAATGACGCCCAAAGGCGTCAGCTGCAGGGCAATGCCATCCTCCAGGCTGACCAGCGGCTTCCTCGAGTTGAGAGTAAATTCGTACTCCATGAGCAGCAGGGCCAGAGCCAGACGCAGCTGCAGCTGGGCAAACTGTATGCCTATGCAGGAGCGTGCGCCCACGCCAAAGCCAAACCAGGTGCCCTGCTCCTGCAGCGAGTCCCTGGGGCCGCTCCATCGATCCGGCTTGAATTCCTCGGGCTCTGGATAGATATCAGGATCGTGGTGTATGGCATGTGTGGGAATGATGAGGAACAGCTCCTTGACCAGCATATATTGGGGATGATCGGGCACCTGGTAGTCGGTGAGGGTGCGGCGGAGTATGTAGGGCGTGATGGGATGCATCCTGAGGGTCTCGTTGATGACCTGGCCCAGATATGCCAAAGATTGGACGCACTCAAAGTTCAGGTTATTGTCATGGCGCTCCATGGCCTTCTTGATCTCTTCCCGTACCCTGGCCTGCACGTGTGTGTGGAGTGCTAGCTCGTAGAGGATATAGGACAAGGTATTGGCTGTTTGCTCGTAGCCAGCCTTCAGGAAAACGACGGCATGCGCAGCCAGCTCGTTCTGCAGATGCGTCTTCAGCTCCTTGTCCGACTCATACTGATGGGTGATTAGCTCCAGTGCCTTGATCTCCACCAGCAGCTGCAGGTAATCCTGGTGGCGGACGCCAGAGGCTTCGCGCTGTTCCACGATGTCCGAGAGTAAGGTGAGGAAGTAGGTCTCCGCCTGCTTGGGGGTCCGGCGCATACGCAGAATGCGGCAGAAGTTGGGAAACCTGATCATCATCAGATTCATTAAATAGCCGTGCTTGTGGCTGCTCACGGCCATCTCTGTCATTTGCTCAAAGTCCTCCAGGGAATACTTCAGCCGTTGCTGGGCATCCAGGCCAAAGACGCACTTGGCCAGGGCCGAGAGGACATACCGCCGCATCAGTTTCTGTATGTGGAGCGTGGAGTGCGGCTGCTTCATCAGCGTAGAGCTGACGGTAAGCAGCAGATTTTCCGCCTCCTCGTACAGACTGCCATACAGCCAGGACATGCGATCGCTCTCGAGACTAGGGTCCAGCTTCTGGCGCATCTCCTTCCAACTCTGGCCGCGCATCGCGTACAGATCCCCCGAAAGTGGATCCGTTTTCTGATTGCAGTACATGCCGCGATCATTGAAGTTCCAGAAGTCCTTGATCATTATCTGCCTGATCAGTTCGCGGTCGAGGATCAGTGCTCGCGGCTGCAGCAGGGCATAGAAGCCGCAGAACGGTCCGCCGCCCTTGAACTTGGTGTAGAGTGCCGAGTAATGAGCCGTCTTCATCGCCTCGGTACTGAGACTCTGTGTCACTATTTGCCTAACGATGGGCCATAACTTTTTCGGCCTCTCATGGGGAATGTTCAGATAGCGCCAATAGTCACGCTGATAACGCGCTGCCATAATTAACAGAATCACTAGTCCCAGCACCACCAGCCCAATAATCAGAAAAATTATCCACATATTCTGCATAATGAGCGCTTTCCACTGTTTGTGTATTGTATAGTGAATCACAGGTACAGGTCCCTGGTTTCTGGGAGTCCGTCCACTTCCTTGCCACACTCACTTTCTAACCCACTCGCGCGCACACGGGCTGACACTCTCTTTGTTTTCGTCTCTTTCCGGTCACGGCAGTCGTAGTGTCACCCCGACTATGATCTAATGCATTTATCGGAGCGTTCTTACGTTCGTTACGTTCATTACCGGATCGCGTTGTTCGACTGAGTGCGTTGGAGAAAAGTAACTATTTACGATAGATACTCTACGCGCTCTCGAGACCCGGTGGGGAGCTTTTAATTTGTTGCTTTTTGGAGTGCTGCGCTACACTGAAGCTTATGGACTGACGCAGACGGTTCGTGGGCGTCTGACTGAGGCCAGACATACGAGATGGATACTCGCATTATTATTTCTTTATTTTCAATGTTGGTGGCGCAATGAGATGATATTCTCGTTTATGCCATGTAAAATGTCTTGATCTGGTCTGAAAAATATATTTATTATTTGGTAGGAATATTACATCTAGGGAAACCAATTCATTTGGTTTGTATGTAAGCTTCTACTACCTTTTGAAGGTTATAAATATTTAAAGCTATTATTTACTTGATTGAATTTTATATTGCAGGGCGATTTAGAGTTCACCTTGGTAGATCCCCAATCTGTTATCGTTCAGAGCGTTCTTGGAAGTTCTTTTTGGTTTCTTATCAGCTTGCGACTGTATTTTATTAAACCTTTTTCGTTACGTATGTATTTTTACCTGGCTACACTGTGCCAAATAATCGTTAACAATTTGCATGTGAGAACTAATGATATTCGCTGCTTGGCATTTCTCCTGCTCGACGAGTGTTACGCTCAATTAGCGATTAAATGGCATAACAAAAAAATAAAATACATACTAACAAAGGAAAAGCTCACCCACAAAGCCAAAAAACAAACGAACAAAACAGGCACACACAAACAAAAAGCTGACAGGTTTAATTATTTGTTGTTGCGGCCCATATCCGCACTTGAAATCTAATCAATTGTCAAACAGAAATGCGACTGAAACTACAAAACTACTATACAGGTATCGTGGCCAGGGTTGTTGCCAAAATATTCTGTATTGAGTCAACAGCCGAACATCATGTCCCATTGATGGACACACAAGAACTGGTGGGTAATGATGAACTGACAGGCACTGATATGACGCCGTACTCGATAAGGGCTTGCCTGGCACAGCTGACAAAGAGAGGGCTCGTCATAGTACAGTAGAGCTTGACTACTGCCCGACAAACAGCGGACAGCATATTATTAAAAAATTAAGTGCCCCTTATAGCTTGATTCTCAAAAAGTTATGTTGGGTTAGGCAGGATTATGTTACACCATCCTGGGATATAAATCACTACAAATCTACAAATCTATTTACATACATCCAAAGTACATGAGTCTGGCTAGCTTGCTTGCAGCAATAAGCATTAATTGTCTGGCACTAAAGATTGTATATTTCACAGACACCATTGCTCTTTGGACTTACATGTATGATAACGCTAAGGTATAATCTAAGTATCATTATCTTCCTAGTAGTCAAACTTGAACAAGCATCTGTAACTAAGATCTAGACTTTTGTCCCTGTTCACGTTGTTTCTTTTATATTATCTATTAGTCTTTGAAGAACATATTGGACTTGGACTGGCATAGCGTGATGTCTGATAAGTGAGGGGGTCTTCATGGTTGTGTCTCACTACAGTTTCATGTCTATAGTATGACTATAGAATAAAAGCACTTCCAATAATCATGATGAATTTTAAATATTTAATAATGGAAAAATCAATGTAAATATGAGAACTTTCCATTTCAACATGCTTTCCCTACAGTACAGTGCCCGTCAATAGTAGCCACATACATGTTTGCTTGCATCTGCTACAGCTTGAAAGATAAACAATACGTTGAGATTAAGAATCACGCTCTCCGTCTCAGCTCAACTGTCTCTATCTTGTCGAGATTTTACCCCGTCATGCTGAGCGTATTTTTTTTCTCAGCATTTATAAGCCGAGCGTTTGGCCGTGCCAACATCAGTCCGGTCAGAACCTCATCCCTCTCAACATGGAACTCACTTATATACTGTTCCAGGTGGCAGTGGCACTGCTGGCGATCGTGGCCTACCATGTCTACCGCAGATTGTCGTACTTCAAGCGTCGGGGTATTCCGCACGATCCTCCACATTTGTTTCAGGGCAATCTGCAGGGCATATTAACTAAACGGCATATGCACGAGATCATAGGAGATTACTACGACAAATATCAAGAGAGCAAGTTGCCCTTTGTTGGGTTCTACTTCTTCCAAAAGCCGTCGGCTTTCATTTTGGATCTGGAGCTGGCCAAGCACATCCTGATCAAGGACTTCTCCAACTTCAGCGACAAGGGTATTTTCTACAACGAAAAGGATGATCCCATCTCCGCTCATCTCTTCAATCTGGACGGACCGCAGTGGCGTGTCCTGCGAAACAAATTATCGTCGACATTCACCGCTGGCAAAATGAAGTTCATGTATCCCACGCTGGTGTCTGTGGCCGACGAGCTCATCGCCGTCATGCATGAGAAGGTGAAGCAGAATTCTGTTCTGGAAATTCGCGATCTGGTGTCCCGGTTCACAGTGGACGTGATCGGCACCTGTGCCTTCGGCATTAAGTGCAACAGTCTGCGCGATGAGAGCGCCGAATTTCTGACAGTTGGTAAGCGTGTCTTCCTGGACAAACGTCATGGCTCCTTCATGAGCGGCGTCATGCAGAGCTACCCGAAGTTGGCGAGGCGTCTGGGTCTGGTGCGAACGCCCTCGCACATTCAGGCCTTCTACAAGCGTATTGTGTATGAGACCGTGGCGCTGCGGGAGAAGGAAAACATCCGAAGAAATGATTTCATGGATTTGCTCATTGAGATGAAGAACCAAAAAGTTACACTGGACAATGGTGATGTGGTCAGCGGTTTGAGCATAGAGGAGATACTTGCCCAGGCCTTTATATTCTTTATTGCTGGCTTCGAGACATCCTCCTCCACCATGGGCTATGCTCTGTATGAGCTGGCCAGGCATCCGCATATACAAGACAAGGTCAGAGCGGAGCTGGAGGAAGTGCTGGAGCAGCACGACCAGCAGTTCACCTACGAGTCCACCAAGGATCTCAAGTACCTCAATCAGGTTATCTGTGGTGAGTAAACTAAAACGAATTTGAACAGCACAATCACTAACGCTTGTTTCCCTTGCTCTGATGCAGAAACTCTGCGGCTCTACACCATTGTACCGCATTTGGATCGCAAGGCTAATAAGCGATTCGTTGTGCCGGGCCATCCAAATTTCGTGATTGAAGCCGGGCAATCGATCATCATACCGTCATCGGCCATACACCATGATCCCAACATCTATCCGGAGCCGAGCGAGTTCCAGCCCGAGCGTTTCTCCGCCGAGGAATCGGCTAAGCGATCCTCGGTGGCCTGGCTTCCATTTGGCGATGGTCCCCGCAACTGCATTGGACTTCGCTTTGGCAAGATGCAGGCGCTCATTGGCCTGGCGTTGCTCATAAGAAATTTCAAATTTTCCACCTGCCCGAAAACAGCGGACCCTTTGGTCTACAATCCCAAAAGTTTTGTACTTGCCGTGGACGGCATTCAGCTCAAAGTGGAGGCAGTGTGACCACGAAAGAATAGTATTAACCATCAGCCATTAAAACGATGCCAAAGTACATCACAAATATCATAATCTAGCTGTCACAGGGCTCTCTGTTGGGGCTGGCTGGATTGTCTAACGCTGCACTGGGCTGCTTGTATGAATCAGCAGCTAAAAGCTGCCCGCCAATCGTAGGGGCGATCGTTCGTCTGTGCTTGCATAGAGCGACACCCTATCACAATCTTTATAACGTACTCTCGTACCCTCATATCAGCTTTAATTCCCGGAAATTCTTCGGCCACAATAGTGTTTTGCGTGTGGGCTTTTTAAGCAGGCGGAGAACAATGCGGCTCTCAGTGAGTTCCCGAAGCTGAACAGGTTCGCACACTTGATTGCTTGCCGCGGACGGGCAGTTAAACAAACGTAGTTAGTTATATTCGTTGTATATATATATATATATTTTTTTTCGCTATCGTTATGGGCGTGAGTACACTGCTGCTGGCGGCGCTGGTGGCGCTGGTTGGATATCTGCTACTGCTATGGCATCGCACCAGGCACTACTGGCAGAATCTGGGCATTCCGTGCGAGGAACCGCATTTGCTGTTGGGTAGCCTGGGCGGATTGCGCACCAAGCGATCGTTCAACGATGTCTGGGTGCAATACTACAAAAAGTTCCGGCTGAGCGGACCCTTTGCCGGATTCTATTGGTTCCAGCGGCCTGCTGTTTTTGTGCTGGAGCCCTCACTGGCCAAGCTCATATTGATCAAGGAATTCAACAAGTTCACGGATCGCGGCTTCTTTCACAATCCCGAGGATGATCCATTGTCGGGGCAGCTGTTTCTGCTGGATGGCCACAAGTGGCGGTCGATGAGGAACAAGCTGTCGTCCACCTTCACCTCCGGCAAAATGCGGTACATGTTTCCCACTGTCATCCGGGTGAGTCATGAGTTCTCGGACGTGTTTGGTCAGATGGTGGACAAGTCACCCATCGTTGAGGTCAGGGAACTGCTGGCCAGATTCACCACAGACGTGATAGGCACATGTGCCTTTGGCATCGATTGCAGCAGTCTCAAGGATCCGGAAGCCGAGTTCCGTGTGATGGGCCGTCGAGCTTTGACCGAGCAGCGTCATGGTGCCTTTGGCGTTGGCTTCCTGAATAGCTTTCCCGAACTGTCCCGCAAGCTACACCTGAAGATGACAGCAGAACCCATTGAGAAGTTTTTCATGCGCATCGTCAGGGAGACGGTGAAGTTCAGGGAACAGAACCAGATACGACGCAACGACTTTATGGATCAGTTGATCGATCTGAAAAATAATCAATTAATTAAGTCCGAGTCGGGTGACAACATTAACCTCACGATTGAGGAGATTGCCGCCCAGGCGTTTGTGTTCTTTGCCGCTGGATTTGAGACCTCGTCGACCACAATGGGCTTTGCTCTGTACGAATTGGCACAGCACCCGGAAATCCAGCAGCGCGTGAGAGAGGAGTGCCAGGCGGTTGTACAGAAGTATAACGGCGAGTTGACCTACGAGAGCATGAAGGATCTGGTCTACCTCGATCAGGTGATATCTGGTGAGTGCAAAAGAACCTAATCTATAAAAGTTCTTAACGAACTTTACTTTTTCTTTACTTTAGAAACCCTTCGCTTGTACACGGTGCTGCCCGTCTTGAATCGCGAATGCTTGGAGGACTATGTGGTGCCGGACAATCCAAAGTACGTGATCAAGAAGGGTATGCCCATTCTGATACCAGCCGGCCCCATGCATCGCGATGAGAGGTTCTATCCCAATCCTGATGCCTTCAACCCGGATAACTTTTCGGCGGAGCGCGTTAAGAATCGCGACTCTGTGGAGTGGCTGCCCTTTGGAGATGGTCCCCGCAACTGTATCGGAATGCGTTTTGGCCAGATGCAGGCCCGCATTGGCATGGCCATGCTGCTCAAGGATTTCAAATTCGCCGTGTGCGACGAAACGACTATTCCCATGACCTACAATTTGGAAAGCTTCTTGATAGCCAGTAAATCTGGCATCTCACTGCGAGTGGAACGTGTTTAACAAGTACACACATATATGTAAACTCTCGTACTCACATTGAACAACGTGTACCTCAACTTGTATCTATCCTAATATGTTGTTAATCTATATAAAATTGCTTGATATTACATCATGCTTGATCGAGCGTAATATGAAGGTCTGAGGTTAATTGGGGCATTGTCCGGGCGTTATATAGACATATATATTTAATTCTACATGAACAAGCATGAAGCACAAGTCCAACTATTTTTATACCCGTACTCAAAAAGAGTTAAGGGGTATATTGTATTTGTGGTTAACGTGGATGTGTGCAACGCAGAGAAGGAAACGTTTCCGACCCCATAGAGCATATATACGATATAATCATGTCCGTCTGTCCGTCCGTCCATCTGTCCGTCTTGATGAGCGCCTAGAGAAGATGTAGAATCTAATTGATACATGTATAATCTACATGTTAGATGTAGAATATACATTTTAGATGTAGAATATACATTTTATATGTATAATATACATTTTAGATGTACATTTAGGTAACAGATGTAGCAAAAAAATTGTAAAATGTTGTAAAATTCTACATAAATCATAAGCTCTAAAAATGTATACACTGACTGAGTACGGGTATAAAAGTAGAGTCGCGTCCCCAGAAGCGACTCACACGTTCCTTCTCGTTTTTTTATAGTTACATGCGTCATGCTCGCTTGAAACAATTGGCTGAAAATGATAAAATGGAATTCAAATATCTATTTCTTATCTTTTACCCTAGAAACAGTTTGGAAAAACATCTTGCACTAAAGATTATATATTTAACAGTAACCATATCGCGGATTGCGTATTGCATTTAATGGTAATGATAATCTAAGTCTGTGTTCGCATTGTTAATAATCTCTAGTAATAAAGCTCAAGTAAAAAATCTGTAAGAACTATTTACTATTTTTTTCAATTACGACGTACTTCTGAGTAGTATGAGTATGATATATATATATCTAAATATGTACATGTGTATGCGGTTTGTAGCAGGTTCTGAGAGATTGCTCTCTCAATGCTCTCTAAATAGCTAAATTAATAACGGAATCTAAATTGTGCTGTCTACGAAGCGAAAAATGTGTGGAAAGTCTGATGTAACTTAATTCACTTGTTGTGAAACAGAGGCAACTGCCTTTTATGGGCTTTCGCTTGTGTGTTTGTTCCCTCGACAAGTCATCAGTTTTTGTGGAGAAATTCCCACTATTGAAGCGCATATTTGCTACAACTTCAAGTGATATTTATTTGCTTGAAAGCTTAAGTAAATATTGATACCAAAATTGCATATTAACATGCTAGCGCGTTACCTTGCTAACATTTAAATGGACTCCCCCCTCGGAACTTAACAGAATACCGTCGACCCTGAACTTAAGCGGCACTGTCGTCTCTGTGGGGTGGACCTCAAACTTAAAATTGTGAATGAGCAGGGCCAGTCCGATCACGATCTGCATGCGGCCAAAGCGTAGGCCGATGCAGTTTCGCGGGCCGTCTCCGAAGGGCAGGAAAGTGCAAGGCGGTCGCTGCTGCACTTGATCCTCGTCGAAACGCTCGGGCATGAACTTCTCCGGCTGCGGATAGAACTCGGGATCGTGATGAATACCCCAGGTGGGGATAACAACGCCAGTGCCTGGCTCAATGAAATACTTTCCATTGGCATGCTCGTACCGCTGAGTGCAGCTGCGAATCAAATGAGCCACAACGGGATTTTTTCGCATTGTTTCTGGGGATTGAAGTTAAAGAGAATATTGTGAAAAATTCAATTAAAATGGATCTATGTCTCACCATCGATGACCTTATCCAGATACGTAATTTTCCATTGCATTTCGCCATCACCGTGTCGATCTCCTGCCTCAGCTTATCCTGAATGTCCTGATTCACGGCCAGTTCATGGAGAGCAAAGCCCATCGCGGTCGAGGAGGTTTCGAAGCCAGCCAAGAAGAAGATAAAGGCCTGGGCAGCCAGCTCGTTAAAACTGATGCCATTCTGCTTGTCACCCTCATCGTACTGGATCTTCATGGCGATCAGCATGTCCATGAAATCGTTTCGTTTGACATTATTCTTTACCCGATAGTCGACAGTATCACCAACAATTTTCATATAGAAATCCTCAACTTTCTGGACAGTGGCCTTCATTCGCAGTTTAGCCGCCAGTTTGGGTGCCCCGAAGAGGAACAGGTCCACTATTTTGCCATAACGACGCTCCTTGAGTGCAGCCGTGCCCATGGTGACAAATTCAGCATTCGGATTCCGCAAACTGTTGCACTCCAGCCCGAAGGCACAGCTTCCGATCACATCTGCGGTGAAGCGGGACACCAGATCGGCCACATTCAGGGACTGTGGACCATCTCGGGGAGTTTTCTCAGCGAACACCCGAACCATCTCATCGCCAACTACCAGCACTGTGGGGAACATATTCTTCATCTTGCCCGAGGTGAATGTGGGCGTCATCTTTTGGCGGAGCTGCCGCCACTTTTTTCCTTCGATGGCCACCAGATGATTGGTCAGGGGATCGTCCTTTTCATTATGGAATATTCCCCGATCGTGAAACTTGTCAAACTCGCGGATCAATATGGTTTTCACAAAATCAATGTCGGTAACAATCGCAATTTTCTTCAGATAGAGGTAAAATCCAACAAATGGTCCATCGGTCTTGTTCTTGTATTTAAAGTAGGTTTCCCGAAAGAGATCCGACATTTGCCTTGTCTTCATTAGCTCGCCAGTATTCCCGGTCGGAATACGGGGCGGATCATGGGGAATGCCGCGACGTTTCCAGTACGAAAAGTTTTGATGAACCCACCAGACGGCGAGTGTAATAACACCGACCAGCAATACGATTAAGATTGCCATAGCGAACAAACTAAACAATGCCGTAATGTGCCTTCCATTTTATAGCCAATTCTCTCTTTACTACGGCTCGGCGCTCTTTCTTCTATCCAATCAAGAGACGACAGCTGAAGGAAGCATGGAATCAAATAAAACAAATAAAGTGACAGTCATCGTTAAAAGCTAAAAGCATCAAAGCTCTCTCACATGTTCTCTTTTGCGCTCGCCAAAATGTTTGAGTCTCCAAATGAGTAAACAAATTGCCGCAAACAGGTTTCGTATTCTGTTGTTTGTTCTATCATATACATATGTAATTATAGAGAACCCGTCGATGCATATGAGAAAACAGAGCCGACTCGGCTATACCCGGCTTATATGTAGCTATCAACTCTGTAAAAACTAACCATGATTGGTGCCGATCAGACCAAAGTCTGCAATCTAATCATATCACCTGTAAAGGTTACTCAAGTTATAAGGCGCGTGCTAGTATTTTGAGGTTTATTATGGGTGCTGAGTTCTGGTTAAAACCTAACATAAAAATTCATACAAATATTGACAGCCATAGGCTTTATTTGGAAACCTTTTCGACTTTAAGATGGATTCCATTTTCGGCGGAGAGTAAAATATTTTTGACGACCAACTTCATGGGTATTTGTGTCTCCGGAGCGACACTGAATTTGTACCCCTTGATCAGGTAAGCCAAGCCCACACAGGTTTGCATGATGCCAAACCGCAGGCCGATGCAGTTGCGTGGACCCTCACCGAAGGGCAGCCAGGTGCAGGCGGGTCTGGAGGCGATGGCCTCCTCCGTGAAGCGCTCTGGCTTGAATTTCTCGGGCTCGGGGTAAATATCAGGATCGTAGTGAATACCCAGAGCGGGGATGACGACAACAGTTCCTTTGGCAATGAAATTTTTGGGATCTTCGGGCGAAAAATCCGACTTCGCCTGTCGCGTTAGATGTGCAAGAACCGGGAACTTCCGAAGTGTTTCTGGAAGACAATAATTTATATAATATAGCAGATACTGACTGTAATTCACATGAGCACTTACCCATTACCACCTGCTCTAGGAATTTCATTTCCTTGACGCCCTCGTAGGTGAACTCATTGTTGTGCTTGGCCAGAACATCGTTGATCTCCTTCCGCAGCTTATTTTGAGTGTCCTGGTTCTGGGCCAGCTCATAGAGAGCAAATCCCATGGTTGTGGAGCTTGTCTCGAAGCCTGCCACGAAGAAAATGAATGCCTGGGCTAGAAGCTCGTTGAAGGTAAGTCCCTCATCCGTGTTGCCCTCCTGATCCTTCTTGTACATTTCAATGAGACTGTCCATGAAGTCATTACGCTTTTCCTTGGTCTTCAAGCGGTAGTCGATTGTGTCTCTCACAATTTTTGTGTAGAAGTCCTCAACTTCCTGCACATTCAACTTGAGGCGGAGGCTACGCGAAAGCTTCGGAAAGCCGAAAATAAGGAAATCCAAAAGACCCCAATAACGATGTTCGGTGATGGCTCGCTTGCCAAATGAGACAAAATCCGCCTCCGGATTCTGCTGACTATTGCAATTGAGACCAAAGGCGCAATTTCCTATCACATCAGCGGTGTAGCGAGCCACCAGATCAACAATTTCCAGAACCTTTCCATCGCCGACTCTGTTGCTGAAGATTTTGTTCATCTCCTCACCCACCTGCACCACAATGGGGAACATGTGCTTCATTTTGCCCGATGTAAATGTGGGCGTCAGCTTGTGCCTCAGATGACGCCACTTCTGGCCTTCGATGCTGAACACAGTCGCCGAGAGGGGATCATCAATCTCATTGTAGAATATGCCGCGGTTCTCGAAATGATTGAAGTCTTTGATGAGCACACGCTTCACCAGATCCAGGTCGGTTAACACAGCCATTCTGGTAAAAAAGAAGTAGAACCCAGCAAACGGGTAGTTCGCACTCTTGTACTTCCGATAGTAATCCTTGAAGATCACTGCTATATGCCGCTTCTTTGGCCAGTCCGCAATGTTACCGAACAGTGGGTGAGGCACATCGTGCGGGATACCACGACGCTGCCAGTAGCCATGACGTCGTCGGGCCGCGAACAGAATCAGCGACACCACAATAGCAATTAGCGCCACCACCAACGACATTTTACTTTCCGTTTGACACTGGTCCCAGCTCGCCATATCCACTACGTTTTATGGGTAAAAGCTCTCTCTCGCTCTCACTCTCCAGAAAGCTTTTGATTGCTGACTACTGTAAACTCTCAAAACTGTCTGAGTCTGATATGTACAATGCTGAAATGCTCCTCACTCTGGTCGAAATAATACACCTTAGTGATAACTTAGTGATAACTTTGGTTCGATTTAAGCAACTCATGGCGGCATACTCCAAGGTATGTTTTATTTAAAATCGTGGAACCAAATCAAACGTCTATATTATATTTTGATATATAATTTTGAATTTAAATAATCTGCTGAAACAGTACTAATTAATGTGAAATACCAAAATTATTCGCCTAGTAACGATAATAAAGTTATACTAGCACCGATAAACGTATTGATAATGTTTGCACCTAAAACACAAATGAATCAATTAACTATTAATCGTAGTAGCAGCAGATAGTGAAATTATTTGAGGGCCACGAAGTTTATTCGATTAGACATTCGGTAATATTTGAGTATATCTATGCATGTAGTATGTTTGTATGTATGTATGCATGTATGCATTTATGTACGATAAAAAAATATAGTATTTTCGCTTGTGAACACAGTGGGTAGGGTATGGTATCTCTTACACGACTATTGGCATGCCTATCGCTATCATTTGAGGCTGCTTATCTCTTGCACCTTCAAGTAGATGCCATTCGCTGGACACAGCAGTATGTTCGATTTGACAAACTCAATTTTGGGCACCGTGCGTGGACAAACACTGAAGTGGAACCGTTTGAGTAGATGGACCAGGGCAATGCTGGTCTGCATCTTGCCGAAGCGCATACCGATGCAGTTTCGGGGTCCATCGCCGAAGGGCAGCCAGGCAGCGGTGGGTCGCTGGGCCAGCTGATCGGCCATGAATCGCTCGGGTATAAATTTGTGCGGCTCTGCGTATATGGCTGGATCGTGGTGAATGCCATACACCGGTATTAGCAGCATCTGTCCGGGCTCAATGTAGAAGTGTCGATTGCCCTTGGCGGCATAAAAGTTCTTGGATATGCGCGTGAGGTGCGGCAATGGTGGATACTTTCGCAGCGTCTCTGTGGGCGGGGATCATTAGATCATATTACACGGCTGTCAGAGACAAACGCTCAGTACATTACCTGCTATGACCAGCTCCATGTAGCGCAGCTCCTGCATGGAGTCGTATGTGAATTGGCCCTGATGCAGCTCCAGGGCAGCGTTGATTTCCTGCCTTAACTTGTCCTGCAGCTGTGGCTGGCGGGCCAACTCATAGAGGGCGAATCCCAATGTCGAGGCCGAGGTGTCGAAGCCGGCCGCAAAAAAGATGAAGGCCTGGGCAGCCATCTCCTCCACGCTGAGCTCGCCGCGCCGCTTCATTTCGATGAGGAGATTCATGAAATCGTTCCTCACAATTCCCTGCTCCTCCCTCATCTTCACGGTGTCCTTTACAATGCGTAGATAGAAGTCGGTGATGTCCTGATGTATCTGGCACAGTCGCAGAAGGCGGGCCAGGTCTGGGAAGTTTTCGATGAAGCCATCGATCAGCTGGCTGTGGCGACGTTCGGTGAAGGCCCGTCGACCCATCACGGCAAACTCGGCCTCCGGATTACGCAATCCGTTGCACTCCAGTCCGAACACACAGCGGCCAATCACGTCGGAGGTGTATCTGGCCATCAGATCACTGATCTCCAGGATGCCGCACATGGCATTCGCTGCCAGCTCGCCGCACACCTCGCCCAACTCCACGCCCACCTCGCACATGGTGGGGAACATCAGCTTCATCTTGCCCGAGGTGAATGTGGGCGACATCTTGTGGCGCAGCGGCCGCCACTTGGGTCCATCGATGCGAAAGAGATGCCCGGTGAGAGGATCGTCCCGCTCATTGTGGTACATGCCGCGATCCTCAAAGTTCGCAAAGTCCCTGATCAACACCTCCTTGGCCAGATCCAAATCGAGCACCAAAACCACCGGTCGCAGCATCATGTAGATGCCGGCAAAGGGTGCTCCGCTGTCCTTGAACAGTTCGTACAGCGGCGTTACAATGTCCTTGAAATGCTTTGTCCGGCGTAGCCCATCCATGTTACCCATGGGAAAGCTGGGGCTCACATGCCCGATCGCCCGCCTGGCCCAGTAGCTCAGCCTGTGGCGCACATACCAGAAGCCAACGGCCAGGCTACTGAACAGCAGTGCCATCACATCCAGCATTCTCCAGCAGCGTTTCACTTTCAAATGGTGATTGGAGCAGCAATGTCCGCTGGCAATGTAAACAAGCAAAACCGAGCTGAGCTAACCTCGAGCACAATTGCAATCGAATGGAAACAACTCTGGCAAAGTTCTCCGAGCTTTGAGCGATGCAAAAGCGAATGTGATGAGAGAAGCGGCGACAAGAGAGGTGAACAAACGGCACTGAAATATGTATGCCTATCGTTGATCTTGAAAAATGCAATGCAAAGGGACGGGGAGGGGGGACAAAATTGTTTACGTCCGCTGGCTGACTGGGTGATAAGGAGAGAAGATGTGCGCCCACTCTCTTCTAGCTACTGTATGGAAAGTGTGCATGGCATCGCAAGTCTAAACAATTAATTAAATTATGTAGAACAGCTGATTGGTTACTCTAAATTTCTGCATTTCTATATGACATGAGGAGACTTTTAATTTGAGAGTGTTGTATTTATGTTGTATTTTTATTTATTTTATTTATTTTGATTATTATTTTATTATTTTAATACCATAAGTTTTGCATACAGCCACTGTGCACTGTTTAAAGTGCAGTTACATTTGTTCTCCGCTCTCCGCTCACCACATTTCATATTTCGCTTCTCTTCTCTTTGTGTGTGAAGCTTTTTAGCAGTCAGATTACGGGTCTTAGGTGTTCTGCTTACACACATAATTATATGTAGATATATATATACATTGTATATGTGTTTTTTTTTGGCAGTCACTATCAGTGGTTAGGGTGTGGCCAGTTTTTCCATTTTAAGGTGAATGCCTGCTTGGCTGCCTATAAGAAAAGTCCGACTGGAGAACTTCAATGGGATCTGCGTATGCTCGTTTGGGCTGAATTTGAAATCGCGTAGCAGATAGGTAATTCCAATTTTCACCTGGATTTTGCCGAAGCGCTCCCCAATGCAGTTGCGCGGACCTTCGCCAAAGGGCAAATAGGCCATCGGGTGACGGGCCTTCACTTGATCCGGCTCGAAGCGACTGGGGTCAAAGTTTTCGGGCTGTGGATACAGCTCTGGGTCATTCTGTATGCTGTGCACTGGTATCATCACTCTCGTGCCTGCCTCCAAAGTAAGTTTGCTGTCCGGCACACGATACTCCTTGGTTGTTTGGCGCACAAGATGCGGCAGTATGGGGTACTTTCGTAGCGTCTCTGCCACCACCTGATCCAGGTACGGCATCTCCTGAATGGACTCATACGTCAGCTGGTGATTGTTACGGCCCAGAAGCTCGAGGACTTCACTGCGTAATCTGTCCTGTACATCGGGGTTCAAAGCCAATTCATATAGGCAGAAGGACATCGTTGTCGAGGAAGTATCGAAGCCGGCCAGAAAGAACACCAAGGCTTGAGCGGCAATCTGCTCCAAGGAGAGCCCATCCTTGGTCCCCTCTGCACCCAGTTCCATTAGCAGCTGGATCAAATCGTTGCGCTGCACATTCTCGCGCTTCCTGTAGGCCAGTGTCTGGCGGACTGTGTCCAGGAAGAACTCGCTCACCTCGGGCCGGAAGAGTCGCATTCGCAGCAGCCGCGCCAAGTTGGGCTGGGCAAACATGAAGGCCTGCACCAAGCCCGAGTGGAGCGGATTGGTTGTCACTGAGCGACCCATGCGACGGAACTCCGAATTGGGATCGTTGAGGCTGTTGCACTCCAGGCCAAAGGCACAGCTACCAATGACATCCGTACTGAAGCGGGCGCACAAGTCCTTGGCCTCTATCTCACCCACTTGCAGCTGGCAGGCCTGGGTGAGCTTTTCGCCCACGCTCAGCATGGTGGGGAACATAAACTTCATCTTGCCGGAGGTGAAAACCTGCGTCAGGTTTTGTCGCAGCCAGCGCCACTCGGGCCCGTCCAGAAATAGAAGGTTTCCGGTCAACGGATCGTCCCTGACATTGTGAAAGAGGCCACGGTCCGCAAAGCTGCTGAAATCACTTATCGTTATTTTCCTTATCAGTTCCAGATCCATCACAAAGAGCGCTTTGTTCAGGAAGGTGAAGTAGCCGCAGTAGCGTTCGGTTTGTCGGAACTTTTGATAGATTCGACGATTGATGTCTGTCCAGTGCAGCTTCTTGCCAAAGCCACGCATATTGCCCAGGAAAAGTTCTGGCTTCTCCCCAGCCACGCCTCTGCGACGCCAGTAGTCATAGTGCCGTCGCAGCCGGGCATAAATCAGAGCGCCGGCAACAAAAACGAGAGTCAACAGAGTCCACATGCTACCGTCCACTCGATTGAAATGCAACTGACTCTCGAACCCGAGACTACCTACTACCGCGACTGCCTTTGTGGGCAGTGAGAAAAGCTTTCCATAAGTTCTCTCTTGCTAAAATAGTATCGCTCAGATGTTTTGTTTGGGTATTGTGGTGTATATCTCCGCCTACTCGGTTGCGTTCAAATACTGCGCATTTATCATAAACAGAAGGCTTTATTTATTTGTTAGAAAGCTATCAGCTATTGGATACGCTCCACTTTCAGGTGAATTCCATGCTTCGTGGTTAAAGTAAACGCTTTGGTATCTAGAATCAGTGGAGTTTCGGTACGTTTGGAGATGCCGAACCTGAAGCGTCGCAGCAGTGACACCAGGCCAATCTTAGCCTGTAGCTTGCCAAATCGCAGTCCTATGCAGTTACGCTGTCCGTCCCCAAAGGGCAAGTAGGCCATCGGATGGCGAGACTTCACCTGATCCGCCTCGAAGCGACTCGGATCGAAACGATCGGGTGCCGGATATATTTCCGGATCGTGATGAATATTGTGGACAGGTATTAATATGGTTGTGCCCTTGTCAATGGTGATGTCCGTGTTGGGGACTTTATAGTTCTGATTTGCCTCTCGTATCAGTTGTGGAATAATGGGATGTTTCCGAAGTGTTTCTGTAAGGAATAAATACTGGTTAGAGCTGTGGCTATTACTTGTATGGCTATGGTATTTATGCACCTGCTAAGACTTTGTCCAGATAGTTCATCTCTGCTAATGCATCGTATGTTAGCTTGCCATCTTCCATATTCCTGAGAACAGTCTCGATTTCCTCTCGGACACGCCGCTGAATATCGGGCTGCAGCGCCAGCTCATACAAACAGTAGGCCATTGTGCTCGAAGATGTCTCGAATCCAGCTACGAAGAACACAAAAGCCTGGGCAGCCATCTGCTCGATAGTCAGGCCCGTGGACAGATCAATTGCCATGCCTTGCTTGGCGGCCTCTTCGTTCTCGGCACGCAACTCAATCAACTCATCGAGAAAATCGTTTCGCTTGATGCCGTTCTTTATGCGATGGTCGACGGTGTTTCTTACCGCATTCATAAAAAACTCCGATAGATCGTCGGGTAACAGTTTCATGCGCAATTTTCTGGCCAATTTGGCATTTGTAAAGATAAAAAATTGCACTATTGGTGGATGGCGAGGCTTCTCAAAGATCATTCTGCCCTTTGAGCGGAATTCGGCATTGGGATCGCTCAGACTGTGGCACTCCAGTCCAAATGCACATGTGCCAATGACATCGGTCGTAAATCTAGCACAAATATCCTTGATCTCCACATCGCCATCATCCACAACGGCAGCACTCACGGCCTTGTCCATGGCTTCGGCCAGACGATGGCCAACCTCAACGACCACACCAGACATATGCTTGATCTTGCCAGAGGTGAAAACAGGCGTCAGCTTCTGCCTCATTGAACGCCACTCGTCGCCCTCCAGGGTCAGCAGGTGACCCGTCAACGGATCATCTCGCACATTATGGAACACTCCGCGATCTTGAAAGTAATTGAAATCTTTGATCAGCACTTGCTTGATCAAATCCAGATCAATGATGAGAGCGGTCCGCTTAAAGAATGTGAACATTCCCGCAAGAGGTGCGCATCCCTTGAACTTATCGTAGATCCTTTGGTTAATATCCCGAAAATGGTACTTGGTTCCAATTCCTTTCACGTTGCCTAACAGCGGGAGTGGGCGTTCACTTGGCACTCCTTTTCTTTCCCAGTAGCTATAGGTATTCCGGTAGAAATTGTAGGCTAGCGCCAGTGCCACGCCCAGCAAAGTAAATGTTAACAGCATCGTGATCGAACTTCACTTGTCCGACTCGTAGACAAGACTGTCCAGTCTGCCGCCGAGTGTACGTTTCTGGAGAACATTATATTACACTAGCAGCCTGTTGATGTCGTTGGCGAAAGCTCTCACAAAAGAAATTCCCAAAGAGAGACTAAACAAAAGATTATACTTGATCTTTACACCTACGTGTAAACCATTTTAAATTCATGAAATAGGTTCGCAAACATCAATTGCCGACTCCACCAAAAAATATGATAATCTATCAGCGAAGCGTAGCGTTCCTTAATTTGTTTGGCAGCTTTTTTAATCACCTTCCTCTCTGTGCTTCGCTTTTTGCTCTTTGCCAAATACGTTCTCTGCTCTTCTAAAATAAAATGAAACAACAAAACACAAAGCTTATAACCCAAAACAAGTTATTCTCCCTCTCCCGATTCCAAACACAGTTCGCCATCATAAATACGTATTGTGCTTTTTTTATGTATCGGTTTTTGTTTTGGTCGCCACTTTCTTCCAAGAGCAAGGTCAAAGAGAAAGAGAAAAGGTGAGATAAATCTGAAAAATGATCACTCACAAAATGCTTTAGAAAAGTCTACACGAAATGAACACACTTTGCGAAAAAATGTAGCTGTAGCAGAGCACAGTAAAACCTGCTAATGATTACTCACTGTTTGTCTCACTAAATATTATATAAATAAAAATAAAAATAAAAAAAAAATGAAATAAAAATATATTTATAAATATAAATTATGTATATTGTCTAGTGAATATAATCACAACATAACTTTCCTACTAGCTCCTCTTTGGTGTCGAAGGGAAAAGTTTTCACAAGTATTCAGTTACAATTAAATATTTATATTATACAAATAAAGAAATAAAATATATTGCGCTGATGATAATGATGTCCAGAGAGTTTTACCCCGCCCCAAAGTATGCAACGGATGCCGAAAAGAGCTGGTCTCGTTGCTACTGCAGCATTAATAGAGCAGCCCACAAGGTCGTCACTGCTTGACATGTACACAAATATGTACATATGTACATATAAATATGGGGAAAGCTTTCCGACAACTTTCAAAGCACAAAATATAGGGAACTTTGTGCAGAGGCGAGCTTTAGTGGTGGATGTGTTAACTAGTTATCAACTAAAAGTAATATCATTCAATGCAGTTCTGTCAGTGGCACACTGTTGAAGAACTAATATGTATGATTGGATGAATTGGGTAGGGCAGAAGCTGATAGATAGGTGATTTTTTAGTCAAAATTAAAATATTTCAAATATTTCTTCGACAATCATGAACAGCACTCGTCGATCTTATCAGTGGCATCGATGTGATGCTCATCGGCATCTATAAGGCTTGCTAAGGCTAAGAGGAAAGTACCCTCATTATTCTCGTTTTTATCGATCTTCTAGCCACCTTTTTTCCTTACCTGTAGATGTGCTAAAGCACCGCCAAATACAACTTTACTGTTTTGTGCTTGTAAAAGCCACTAAGCTACTTACCAATCTTGGTGTCTTTTGTGTCTCAGAAATGCTGAAAGCAGAGTCTGGAGCATCTGGCGGTAGAGAAAAATTCCATCGGGGCCAGCTAACGTTGGCATTTCCGTGTCGCCTTGACGACATCACCAGTGGGTGTCCAGCTGTTAGCCAGTTATTCAGTTGTCCATTTGCCCATGTCCATTCCATGTTTTGCAATGTTTTTGTCGTTTCCGTGGTCGCTTCCCAGGTATTCGTACACTTAGCGGCAAGCAGCTGTTTATGCTGATGGGCCCCGGCAGGAAAGAAAATGCAGAGGGTTTTTGCCCCATTTCCCCAGTTTAGCAGCAGCAGTGACCGGTGAAAAAAAGTTGGATGGCATTGCAATTTGCTCTTCGTATTGCATACTTTTAGGATCAGGAATTTTTCCGCGCCCAAGCACTTAAAAATATACTGCATATTTTATAAAGACCAGAGTGAGAGTGGGTGGGGTTGTAGCTGCAACAATGCATTGCAATGGGCGGCTCTGCCTTAATTAAAACAAATTTAAAACCAGTTAACGCACACTCACGCCCACATATGTACACAGGCAGTGGCTGCCGCTTGACAGTTGGCAGCGGACTTCCGCCTCTGGCTTGGGAGCACATCAAATATGACAGGCTGGCCGTGGTCGGTCTGGCTCTGACTCTGGAGAGCCCTGGCTGCAGCCAAAATGTTGCCATGCAAATTTAAATGTCAACAAAAACTTGCAGTTTAACCCAAAAACCTTATTTTGCGGTGTGTGTCGGTGGTGTTTGTTGCCGCCATCCAACAATATACCAGCCGTTCGGTAGCCAGCCAGGGCTGCGCAAATTTATGCAAACTCCATTAAAGGCCAACCTCGATTAGGGATGAGTGCGTGATCTAAAGGGAGATGTAAATATATGCACAGATATGTAGTAACTGTAGTAACCAGCTACGGTGATAGCGGAAGGATTTCTATAAGCTTTCAGTAGAAAGTGATTCCAAATAAATGCAGCTGCAACGAGTTCGATTCTCAAGAGGATCTGTTTTCGAAAAATCACACAGTCATTCACTCATGCATGCAGTTTCAGATTAATTGGTAAATTGAAAGGATTTCCCTTGAATTGCCTACGAAAAATGACTTTAAATTGCCAGTTCAGTACAATTTAATTTTGCCTCAAACTCACTTGCCACTTGAGTTTCACATTACTTGGAAAATAATTTCATATCTCGGTTCATCGCCTTCTCATCTCTAGAGTGCACATGGAAAATCATGGCTCGAATATGCATATGGACTCGTCTCTATGTGCAACAGGAAATGGCTGGGTTGGCTTGGCTAAACAAGCCCAGCCATGCGACCCCTTAGCACTGCTGTCTGCTCTCGGAGTGCCAGTTGTTGGTCTTGTTCCAGTTCTGTTTTCGTTTTGTTTGCTCCCTTGTTCAGGTGCATCGCTCTGGCAGCTGTTTGTGGCCATTGTTTAGTAATCGGATGTAGCCAAGTTTTGAAATCTAATGTATAATTTCGCAGCATTTTAATTACTTGCCACCGACTGCTTGACTGTGTTCTACCATTCAGTTCCTGGTGGCTAGGCTGGGCTGCTTTTGACATGTGGCTATGCAAATTTTCGAATTATGGTTAGGGTGCAGGCACTTGACTTTGTTATGATGAGAACTCACTGTAATAGTTCCTTTTGAATAAAGAGAGCGGAGATTTTGTGTTGTAGTGCCCCAAAATGTATGCTACATATCTTGTGGAATAGCTCATCTTGTATATAAATTTGAAGTAGAAATAAATCTCACTTTTCCCATTCCATAATCATTTTTTTTGTTCCGATTGCACACTGACATCCTTGCTGCTGCTATATCTGCGGCTCTGTCTTGTATCCCCGAAAACTTTCAACAGTTCGACCCGCCTAAAATAACAATGAAATTCGGAAAGCGCATCTGGTGCTGGGCTAAAAGTTTGAGTATTGAGTGGATAACTTAAAGCCCAACACAAGTTTGCATAAACATGTAGGGCTCAATCACATCGGCCATTACCAGCAGTTCCCCGGGTTCCATTTTACCCCCCCACCCATCACCCTGACTCAATTGTTCTGCCATTGTTCCTGCGCTGTCCCTGCTGCTCGTAGTCCACTCCACGAGCAATTTGCCTTGACAATAGTCATGCATTTTAATTGTGCAGCAGCTGCGGTTCATCTTGTTCCCTTTCCCCCGTTGTTTCCATTACACCCCATGCCACCCTGCCACGCTGCAACCCTGCCGCCATGCCACTGCTAAACGCAGCAAATTGTGAGGCCATTAAAAAAATGGCGCATAAAATAGAAACTTTTCCAGATATTTTTATTCGGAGATGTGCAACAGGGAGGGAGAGAGCTCCAGCAATTATTTGTAAAATATTTATTTTACAATTGAATTGAAAAAGTTTCTGTGTGTGGCATTTCCCCCAAAACTGTGCCAGAGAGGAGCAACTTTCGACCACTAATCAAATGAATGGAAATTAACCCAGCGACGCGGACAGACGGGACGAAGGGGGAACGTGGGCGGCGAGAGACTGTCGCGACCGTGTGCAAAACAATTAAGCTAAAATTGTTATTGCAATTTGAAAACAATTGTCAAATTATGCAAATGCCGTCTGATTGCCTCGAGTATTTTTGCCACCAGTCCCCCATCGGCCAAAGCTAACAAGGTGAACAAGGATGAGGGGACAGGGACGGGGACGGGTACGGCGACTCCCCTATCTCACCTTCTCCTGGGTGGGGTGGTAGGTAGCGGCTGCTCAAAGATTTATGGCGACTGCCTCAAGTGTCTGGGGTGGCTGAGTGGCTTAGTGTGGGGTGAGTGGTGGCAAAAAAGTTTTGCGAGTGCGTCGGCATCTTGGCTTGGTGCTGACGTTGACTGCAAGGCAGCTGCAATTTGCATAAAAATTCATTGGCTTTGTGGCAAGTTGACAAATAAAACCTTTTGGGAACGAATAACCAAGTACTGAACAATATACGCACTCATATCTCTGGGTTAACGAATACGCAATGCTCTGAAGGCAAATTTATATTTATGTTATTTTAGAATCAAAAAATGTGAACAGAAATAATTGATTCAAAAGAAAGTTTAATAATGGATATGGATGTGCACTATTCACGTTAAATCTTACTGGAATTGAATAGAAATTATGGCAACCCTCAATGTAAGGGATATGCTCACATCCGAATAAAAAGAGGTTGGAAAATTGGAAATATTTTCCTTTGCATGCATTTGAATAAACAAGAGCAAAAAGCTGAATGAGAAACCATTATTTAAATATCAATTTTCAATTATATTCGGCAGCAGGATTCAGATATTACAAACACACTGTAAAACCAGCGCTAGACGAAACTGTTAATGGCGGCGACCCGGTTCACAACATGTGCTGTCAGTTTCCTATTTCTGCTCTTAGAATATCCCCCCACTGCCCATCCCAGCCCCACTGCTACCGCTGATGCTGCTACATTTCCGTTACATTAACAAAGCGCCATTGTGTGGCACGAACGGGAGAACAACAATAATGGTCAAGCAAGGGGACAGCAACAGCAAAAATGG